GCTGGACCATCTACCTGGAAACCTTTTATATGACAGTTGAAATTGTTTTTAATTTAAATATTGTTCAGAATAGGAAACCTTTACAAAACTCTCATTTTGCTTTAATAGAACTCTTATGACTTTTTAAAAGTTTTAAATTCAAAATGTTTAGAAGTATGAATTTGAATTTTCAAAGTCATTGATTCTTAAGTTCATAAATTATGTAATTGTGTGTGTGTACTAATTTTATTATGTCATTTATAAATATTATGCTATTATAGAAATTTTATCAATTTTCAAAATGTTTTCACAATTTGGATGTATTCAGTAGTGGTTAAACAGACTATTTTGATCATTTACTACATGAAAAGTTTTGTATTTGGTATTTTCATGAAATAAAAGTAAATAGGTGTGATCCCTATGCTCAAATAATAAGAAATAAAGTATGGAAGATAAGATAATAATTCAAATAAACACTAAGGAGACTCTGACAAATCATATCAGCTGATATGTATTGGAGATATCGGAAGGAATAAAGTTAACTAGAATTTTGTAAGACCTTATATTTAAAAAAAAAACAGGTGACAGACAGAGAGGTGGAAATGACATTTCAGGCAGAACTATCAGGAGCTAACACAGATATGAGAAATTATAGAGAATATTTAATTTTAATCCAGTTTGATAAAAAGCAGTGGTCCTTAACTATGATTTACAGTCATCTAGAGAGATTTTTAAAAATATAGCTTGTCAGTCCTATTCCTCAGAGATTCAGATTTTGGATTTTGTATTTTCAAAAACTCCTCAAGTGATTGTATTATTCAGTCGGGTTGATAAACCAATAGATAAGAGTAGCTGATAATATCAGAGCAGTGACAAGAAAGGAAAGACTGGAACAAAGAATTTGGCTTTAGGCTAGGGAAATCACATTTATTTCAGGGGGAAATGGAGAATTCTTAAACTATGTTTTGAGGCTCTTATATGTGAAATGAAAAGAACTAAAAATCAGGAAAATGATTTTGAAAAACTTGTCCAAACATGTAACGCTGACCAATGAGAAGAAGTTGGATAAAGAGGGAATGAAGAGAAAATAAGAAAAAAAAAAAAAAAAAAAAGACAGCTGATTGACAGACATATACACACACACACACACACACACATATGTATATACTACACATAATATATATATGTTCATTTATATAAAAGGATTATATATATTTTTCTATTGTAATATTGTGGATGCATGGAAATGTTTTACTAATCATAGCTCTCAGTTTATTAACTTTAATGGTCTTATTCTGAAAGGATTCTGTAATTTTCAATGTTAAAATATTCAATCTGTAGGCAGATGTTGAGAAAGACTAGTGAAGAGGATTTTTTTCCTAAGTGGGATCATAGAAAAGCCCCAATCTCACAGGTAATGATCCATTCTGCTTTAAAAAGGAATTGACTGCCTCTTTAATGAAATCAAAAATTCTAATTTTATAACCACAAACTGAAAATTATTTCAAACATAAACTATTGCTGTAGCACCAAAGCAGGCAGGAGGGTGGGCAGAAAGAACAATATGTTAGACATAACCAAAAGAAAAAGAGATTTATCATGGCTCTTCTTTCGTCAAATGAAGTCCATAATGAAATCATTAGATTGCATGGAAATCATCAGCTATGCCTTGATGGAGGTGGCAGTGATGCATGCCAGGTGAAAGGAACTATGCAAGGAGCCTAAAACTGCGCCTGACACATAAATATGCGTTAGATAAATTAATGAGCAGTAAGAAATACCTGGTATTTAAGGCAGTGTAGGCAAAAAACGGAGACTAAGACTTTAGCCAAGGCTTTAATCATGTCTAATAAGTATTATTATTCTTTTAGATGTGTCATGTCAAAGCATTTGTATCCTATGAAGAAGATAAATAATCTTGTTGTTATAATAACCAGGTAGCATATGTACTGTTAGAGATGTATTTATAGGTAATGACCATCTCTCTACTATGCTACAGTAGAGAGATTTTGATTCGTAGTTTACAGGTGAATAACTTAAGAGTTTGGATAGGTTGGTAATTATTTGTGGGAAATCATTATGAAGCAAAGTCCAAGACCCTCCATAATTGTGTTTCTTTTTTCACACATAAACATGTCTTTGTTTGAATGTGGGAATAAAGCAGAGATCCCATTGAATATCTTCCCTTGGCTGCACAGACAACTCCTTTAGTTATGCACCTTAGAGGCAACACTATCACTTCATTGCTGATTCTGACTCTCACCTTTGCACGGACTAATAGTTTCCCCAGATTCTCAAGAAGTGCTTTGCTTGTGGTTGGGAAGAGGTCGAGATTTCTGATAAAAAAAAAATGTGTAAAACAAAATATAAAAACACATACACAGCACACGTAAACTCCCATACATGAATATGATAAGGATTTATTTTTTAACAAATATTTGAATGTATACAGTTTTAGTGAGACAGACAAAATCTATGCCTTCATGAAGCTAAGCTTGTCATGGAGATAGAGAAAAATAAATGCGTAAACTTCATAGAAAGCTAGCAGGAGATTACGTGCTATAGGAGGAAAACATAAAATAGGATAATGGTGATTGTAGATTAAGATGAGAATGCAAATTTGTATAGTGTGGTTGAATAGTCCTCATTGAGATACTGACATTTTAGTTAAAACCTGAAGATCTAAACTGTGAAATACTTGGAAGAGATTTCTTGGAAAGGGAACAAAAGTACTAAGGTCTTAGAGGAACAGGATGCCTAAAACTTTTGAGAGAACATAGGAGGTTAATGTAAGTAAAGATACTAGTCAGGGTGAGATTAATATAAGATGAAGTTAGAAAGGTAAAGGGAAAGTTGATGTGTGTGAATCTGAAGGACTATAATGTTAAAAATGAGAATGGTTTATTGAGACCAAAATGTTCACATTAGCTAGTTATTCTATTCTTATCCTCTTTGGAGGCTACTTAGAAAGTCAAATTACAACCACAATTTTATTTGATGAATAAAACTTTAGGAGAAACTGATCCTAAGATAACCTTGATGATGTTATCTCTAGTTAAATTGAGATAGGTTTGCCTCTTATGGAGAGAACATTTCAACAGCGGAGTGTAGTGTCTGTTGTCAAATCTCCTCATCTCCCAAGACTACTGGATGCATCCTGTCCCAAACTCTTTCAACAGTTTCTGTCCCTGCCCCCACACTTTTGTTATATATTGACCATCTGTCTTTTTTTAACTAAAAATTTCAGCACTGACCCTGCCAGAATTCTACATAGTCATACAGAGACTTTTCACTTATCTTCCTAACTAGAATGGTGATGTCTTGAAACTCTCAAATCACCAATTAAATACAATGTGGTTGTGATATTTTTACCAAGATTATGAAAGTAATAAAATGTTAAATGTGTACCAGACCCTGGTTAGTTGTGTTCGGTACATCCCAATAAACCTATGATGTACCAATAAGTAAGCCTCATTTTCAAGTCAGAAGCTTGATCGATTATGCTTGCACCAAATGTTATTGTCACAAATATCTGCCCTTTCCTGGGGGAGGAACATTCTTTCCCATTCCATTTCTGTTGGACTTAGTCATATAACTTGATTTGTAGGTGAAAGGCTTAAGAGACACCTATATTTATATTTTATTGGCTAACCCAAGTCATATGACCAAGCCCAATATGAATGGAAGTGTCTTTTTTCCTCTTGAACACAGATGTCAATGTCTCTGATAGTGTATGCTTTGTTAACTTTGGTCTCAGAGTGAAGACAATGTAAAGAGGATCTGTAACTCACTCTAGTCGTGGAGTATGAGTGGGAAATAAAACTGAATTTACTGTACCTGGCACATAGTAAGGACTCTACCTGTCAGCTATTTTCATTATTGTCTTCTTCACTATAATAAGCTTATTACTTATTTTTATTCACAACTAGATATTATGTATTGGGGTTACAAGAACCATGTTTTCCAATTGGTATCCACAGTATTACTCCACTTAGCAACTTATGCACATATCAGAGTAGCTGCAGGGTAGGTAATTTAAAGTAATGATTGGAAGCGCAAGTCAGAGAAAAGAAACATGATTTAAATTCTTGTTTGCTGTTATGACCTGTGCAATCTGGACATTTTGCTTACTCTCCGAATACTTACCAGTGAACTGCGGTTAATGAGATCTCCCTATAGCTTTGATGAGCATTAGCTAAAACAATGCACAGGAAGCCTTAAGGGCAGGGCACACCAATAAGTGCTCAATCAATCCTAGTTTTTATTAGTAGATGCTTGCTACCAATGGATATAATGGGCAAAGAAATTATTCTAACAATTTTACAACGATTCTGTAATTTTTCCTGATGTTTTGAACATATGAAACACAATCTTGCTTTCCATTAAGCTCCACTTATGTTATTCTCTATGTGTTTTCTATCTGTAAATATTGCCGCCCTAACAACATTTTTTGGTTAATAGGAAGTTTATTTTTTAGCTTTGTACCTCTAGTTGAGCATAGAGGTGGTTCATGGTAGGTGCCTAATAAATATTCGCCACTTGGACTTTGGAAATCCCAGGTATTTTAGCCACAGTTAGATTTCATTTTAGAAATCTCAGAGAGACCATTAATAGACTCAATAAAGCCAAATTTACTTTCAAAGTCTTTCTTAATTCTTGTAGGTAATAAATGTTTGACTCACAAAGACCATTACAAAAACATTATGGATTAGTATTCACAGTGACAACTTGATGTAATTCATTACTTCACTAAATATTCTCAACAAACATCACACTAAAAACAAATCTCCTCAGTAGATTGAGCTTGTACTTTGTTTTTCTCATCCACGTTAAATCAGTAGTCCGAAAGGTCACAGACCTAAATATGTTCGACCTTGAAAAATGTTCACTTTTGCTACAATATATCAAATTATCATTATAGAGAGAGGTCTTTATTTCTCGGTGATGTTTACCATAGTGAACTAACTTTGGAGTTTTATATTTAAATGGTTTCATGTTTTTCCTTGTCTGTTCCAACATAGGCATCAATTGTGAAATAAATCTAGATGAATGCCTATCAGAGCCCTGTCTCCATGATGGAGTTTGTATTGATGGCATCAATCATTATACCTGTGACTGCAAGAGTGGATTTTTTGGAACACATTGTGAAACAAATGCAAATGATTGCCTTTCAAATCCTTGTCTACATGGAAGGTAGCTATTTTTATTTTTTTATTATTAGCTTTATGAAAGTATATTTAACTCACAATATTTAAGACTTAATGTCAAGGGAAAGTTGATAAAGATAATTTTAATTATGCTCTTTCATGAAACAAGAGCTAGGTAGAGTTAACATGACAGATGCTGCCAGTTTTAGCTAATGCAATGTACCGATACATTATCTCTGCCCTTCTTTTATTTCTGTTCATTAGCATAAAGTAATTTTCAATAAATGTGGATTAATTAGACTTTAATATACTTAAAGGTAACTGCTCATGTTAATAGAACTAGCAGGTAAGATGATGAAACATTCTATTATTTGCTCTATGGAGAGATAATACAACATGCTTAGTATTTAAAGTGTTCCAAAGTAAACTGGTTCTTTTATACTTATGTGTATGAAAGGTATTTGATGACTCTATGAATCTGTATAATAACTCTCCTGATCATGGATAAAATATTAGTTAATGCACATCTAGAGTGAAGGTATTTCTAGAAGATGCAGGTGGCAAAGAAGAATGTAACACAGATGCACCATGCTGCTTGCTTCCGCGTCACTTTGATTTTCTAATCCTGCCACCTACTTTGTAAGCAGGGGAAGGAGAATGAAGGTTGGTAGCTCATTGCAATGCAGCCTGGCCGTAGCTAACTTCAGTTTCTCACATAAGCCCTAGACACACTTCTTATCTTTTAAAACTGTTCCTTCCTTTCATTGCCATGGGGAAAATGGCAAAAATGAAAATTGATCCGATTTTTCAGTCCAGTCACCTTCAAGGATAAGAAACCCAGGAATAAACTCTGCTTTCTGTTGCTCATGGGAGTGCTTTTTTTCACCTGAACTAGGAAAGAAAAGTTTAAATGGGGAAACTCCCTTGAAGTTATGCTTTAACATCTACTTATTTGAAAATTTCATTCTGTTTCAGGTGCACTGGCCTTGTTAATGAATATCCATGTTCATGTGATGCGGAAGGGACTAGCGTACAATGTAAGATCGAAATTCATGTAAGTCTTATAATTTTATTAAAGTTATATGACAAAAATTTAATTTAAAAGAAACATCCAATTGCTTGCTGTAGGTTTCAAAGTCATTTCTTCCACAGTTGTTAATAATTTAACTGTTCTCTCACCATTCCTCTATGTAATTCTTTGGCTGCTCCAAACAAAACTACGAATCACAGCATTTTTTTCTGCACTTTTCCGTTCTTTGTCTCTTGTTATTACAGAATTCCACAATTCCCCTCCCTACGCCCACCACCTCACCAAACTAAATTCTAGAAGTAGCCATTATCAACAGTTGCTCAGATGGCTTAAGTTTTACAATCTGTCTCATCCTCCCAGTCTTAGGAGACAGAGGTAACTATGAATCTGTAGGGATGACATAGGATTCAATTAATTTAGACATCCCAAGGAGAATATAATTACTGGATGTATATACAAAGAAGTAGACAACACCTTTAAATTCTCAGTATATGTCTTTCAGTCTTCAGGGGCCTCATGTCATGTGATTAGCACGTAGTATTTTATATGGAATAGCTCATTTGTTGAGACATGTTGGTTGACTGAAGATTGTGACCATTCTTGGTGGATGAGAATTTTGTGAGCTTTTTGGAATAATGGGGAGTTCTTCCAAATCATTTCTGATGGACAATAACATGGTAAAAGGAGGAAGCATACAAATTAAATGCCTTTGCCATTGTGAAACCATGAGCATTTTATTTAAATTCTTTGTGTCTCACTCCCTCATTAGTAAAACATAGCTATGCTATTTCTGACATCACAGGGTCATGTGCGGGAATGCACATGAAATACAGTAGCTATTCAGTAAGTAGCCCTTCCAGATAGGGGTGATGGAGTAGTTAAATGCATTCAGGGATAACCAGGATTGAATCTCTAATATTGCTGTAAGTTCTATATTGCTGCTGTGTGTTCTCAGACAAATTACTTTTATTTTGAAATTGTTTTAACTGTTCAATAAAAGTAATCACAGTAACTACCTCAGATTATTGTAAGAATTAAATGAGATAATGCATGAAAACAATTAGCACATTTTCTGACATACAGTTTTAAAAACCATAATTATTTGTTGATATTATTATCGTTTGGTTCTGGATAGTGAAAGCCATTATTGATGTGGAAAAGGAAATGTAATAAATAAATTTACTGGCAGAGAATGAATGAACCATACACCTTGTTTGCATTACTGCAAAGGTGTATTGCCTGAAGAAATTTCTAAAACCATATTTCTTGATAGTACAAATATCATACTCTTATTTTTGAATTAAAAATATCAGTAAATAGACATTTTGACATATGTATGCATGCATGCATACATGCCCATCCAGCATTATGAGAACAATTGTTAAAAAAATTCCATGTAAGTATGTCTAGATTTTTGTACTAATATTGTTATTTTAACATTAAAAACAAACTCATTTTGCTCAGTGAGTTTTGTCTTATTTCGTATCTCTGAGGAATCATTCTATTAAAATGCAAAGAGTCCTGACTCATTCATTCTAATAGCTATAAAGTATTCCAAATAAACATTAACAGCCACACTTACCTGATGAGAGTACAGGCATAGCAGCTTACCTAGATCCTGTAAATAAAATAACTTTTTACAAAGTGTTGACTAATTTCATGAGGAAAATGCCATTGCTCATTATTTTATATTCCACGTTCCCAGATTACTATCAGGATTGAGCATCTTTCCATATTATTATTTGCCAATTGTAGTTCTTTGTGCCTTGCCTACTAAGAGCCCTTTTTCTTTTTGCTTACTTGTCCTTTATTTTTTTATTTTTCTGTATTGTTTTAAATTATAGATAAAATTCAGTAGTTTCTGAAAAATGTAAATATTTTATAAACTTTGGACACTCTTATTTTATACAACTTATGCATTGTGAGATTTTCCAATTTTTCTTTACCTTTTTCTTTCTGACTGGACTTTGCCTCCCTCCAAAGAAATTCTTCACACTGTAATATTTTAAAAATATTTTTATATTCTCATCTACTAAAATTATAGAATTCATGATCATTTTAGTTATTTAAGTCACAGTGAATACATTATGATTAATAAAAGGTGGGAATCTAACTTAATGGTTTCTTTTAAGTATAATCATTTTTTCAAAAAAATTTATCAAAGGGTTAGTTCTCTCTTGATTTGGTTTGTTTCACTTTCCATGTAATAGGTTTCTATATATGGGTTAGTTCTTGAACTATCCTGTTTCTTTACTTATTTTCTCATTTGTGCCAATGCCATCTACAATAATTATTATAGTTTAATCAAATTTTTAAAAAGTTGTCATGTTTCACTAATACATTAAGTGTACTCCAAGTGTAGTTTTGGTCATTCATTCTGTAAATCTTGGATATTATTGGGTATCTGTAAGAAATTGGGATTAATAATAATCAGATATACTTCCTACCTGACCAGATCCACATGGAAAGTGATCTACATATCTCTCTAATGGCCTCTCTATCTTTCTTACTAGCTGACCTATTTATTTTATCTTTCTCTGTGCTGAAATGCTTAGATAACATCATCTGAAGGAGATTCATGACCTGTATTACAAGGCTAAAAAGACAAAAGCAATGGAGAAAAATAAGCAGTACTACCTGAAAAGAGCACTCAGGTCAATATAGGGCAAAGTGTTGTATGTGAAATTTCTTGGGAGTGGAAAAATACAGTTTATGTTAGGGATGGATAGGCAACAACACGAGCAAAATTGCTGTGATGGTTGATATTGAGTGTCAACTTCATTGCATTGAAGGATACACTGAGTCAGTGAGATAACTGTCACATTTACTAGCCCAGTGAGTACTTTGCCCTGTCTAAGAATTTCACAATGAATATAATATTGCCCTGTTCCTTTCATGTTCCTACTGTACATTTCCTGGCATAACATTTTCAGTACAAGTTGAATGAATGTATCACTAGGGTCAAGCTCAGTTGTCTAGATTACCCTGATCTGCAGGATCCCTCCTGGCTTCCATCTCTTTCTCTGAATACTCAGCCTTTTATCTATTTTATTTTCTGAAATTACTTTAGTGATCTCTTTGGGGAAGCACTTTATTATATTAAATAAAATATAGCAAAGCAATATAAATGATGATGAACAAAAGAAAAGGCATCCTTTTAAATTTTTAAACCAGGAAAGATCAAGAACTTTAAATGACAATTTGATTTTCTCTAAAAAGAAATTGCCTTTGTATTTCCCATTAAGCTTTCTAATTAATTTAGTAAAAGATTCTTGAAACCCTGGAGACAGAACTTTTGGCAGTCTAAAGACTATCCCTATCTTCAATAGAATTCAATTAGTTTATGTAATGCTTTCTGATAAATCATTCTATACATATCCAGAAATAGAGCCAAGAGAGAAACATGTTTCCATGCCACTCCCTGTGGAACTCTGCTTTTCTGTTCTGTAAATAAAACTACAATACCTACAGGATAGTCTACTACTATGCGTCCTTGGTTTTCCTTAACGAGATCACATTTTCAGCAAAAGTGAAACAAATATCATAGTATTTGTTTATAAAAATATACATTTAGTTCTAACACTTGAGAGGGTGTACAAGATCACCATCTAGGTTCTAGGCATGACTGGAATATTAAACTGAAGTGCACAATTCATTTTTAATTGAGGATGACACTAATTAACCTCTCTGATACAACATCTAATTTTCCAATGGATATATGATACTAATGGAAAACCTTCCATAATAGTCTTTTCAGTATGAGTTTTAATTGTTAAAACTTCTTAAAAGTCACTAAATATTTGTAAGCGCATCAATTAATGAATAATAATTCTAGGAAACTATCACTTTTCAAGGTAAAATGCTGAAGAAGTATTTCATGTTTGCATATGCAGTTATCCTTGAGAATGTAAGAACTCAAGACCTAAAGTGCAAAATGATTCAAATTTGTTTATGTTCATCAAGGTATTATCTTTAGATTGCTCATTGAAAATAAACAGTTTTACTAATGATGTCACCACTCTCCATAAGTTATTTCTCAGAAGTGTGTGTGCAAATCTTTTCAGTTAACGCTTTGAAAACTAATGTCATACCATGTTTATGGTACTATGACATGTGTTTTCCACAATGTAAGTATATATATAAACCCTGCACTGTAAACTTAAAAGCATATGGTGTGATATGGTAGAAGCTAAATATACACAGAAACATATTTCTTGTTCAAATTAAGTGCCAAAGGATAGAAATAGAGGCTGACTGAGCCATTGGCCTTCATAGTGGAGAGGAAAGAAAGATAATATTTACTGATGACATATGATGTTTAAGACACAGTGCCATTATTTTACTTAATTCTCATGGCACACCATAAGAGGTGGGGGTTATTATCGCCGTTTTGGGCATCAATGTCATTACAATAAATAACCATTTGTTGAATTAGTAAGTAAAACTATGAGAAATTTTAAAATATTTTTAAACTTAATAGGTATTATCCAGATTCCTCTAAGTCTACAAGACATTTGCACTGCTGCAGCTATATGTATCTGAAATGTTGGACATACAGTTGGAAAAATGCATGTGGAAAAGTAATTAAAAGGTTATGATTTAATTCAAACTTCAGATATCATAGATGTATTAGGTATTTTAAATGGATACAAATCCAATGTGAAATGTTTGTTCTAAGTATGTGATTAAACCCAGAATTCCTTTGAAACGTAATGGAAATACTATTAATGATTACTCTAGGAGAGCAGAGCTGAACTGGGGCTGTTTTGGGAAAACTGAGAGGCACTGGAGACACTAAGGGTGTGAATAAAAGTGAATTCCTGTCATTCTCTGCAGAGGAAATTTGCTTTAGCACCATTGTTGGGGGCAGGGATAGTTCTCTGACATAGTACATGCTTTTACAAAGATTAATAATGATTTCTTTCCTAATCAGCAATAGAATATTTGAAGGGTTCTTTCTGGTAATAAAAGATTTTTAAAAAACCCCACTTACTAGTAAAAACATATTTCAATTACTAAAGGAAGGAAATGCCAAACAAGCTTACACATCAGTTTTTTAGATTATGTTTAAATAAAAATGTAATTTGATTAAAATGGTCAGCATTATACTAATCATCAAATTTGGTTCTCTATTTCTTAATCTAGGACTGCACATTAATCCCTTGTATGAATGAAGGCTTCTGTCAGAAGTCGGCACATGGATTTACTTGCATTTGCCAACATGGGTACACTGGTACATACTGTGAAGAAAGCGTTGATAATTGTGCTAAGCGTGAACTTAATTCGGCCCTTTGTCTTAATGGAGGGATTTGTGTTGATGGACCTGGACACACTTTTGACTGCAGGTTAGTGTTTATTTACCCACAGGTAACTAAATATGTATTTAGAAGTACTTATAAACATCCCACTAGTAATGCACTCTGCAATGTAAATACTACATTTTAAAGTAAGATTTTATCTCATATATATACACACATATATATGTGCACAACTTAGACAATAACGGTTGCAAATGGCATTGCTTATATTTTCCAAATATCCACATCCTCTCCAGCATTTGTTGTTTCCTGATTTTTTAATGATCACCATTCTAACAGGTGTGAGGTGATATCTCAATGTGGTTTTGATTTGCATTTCTCTAATGACTGGTGATGATGAGCTTTTTTCATGTGTTGGTTGGCTGCATAAATGTCTTCTTTTGAAAAGTGTCTGTTCATACGCTTTGCCCACTTTTGGATGGGGTTGTTTGCTTTTTTCTTGTAAATTTGTTTCAGTTCTCTGTAGATTCTGGATATCAGCCCTTTGTCAGATGGGTAGATTGCAAAAAATTTTTCCCATTCTGTTGGTTGTCGGTTCACTCTACTGATAGTTTCTTTTGCTGTGCAGAAGATCTGAAGTTTAATTAGATCCCATTTGTCTATTTTGGCTTTTGTTGCCATTGCTTTTGGTGTTTTAGTCATGAATTCCTTGCCCATGCCTGTGTCCTGGATGGTATTACCTAGGTTTTCTTCTAGAGTGTTTTGGTGTTAAGCCTCATGCTTAAATCTTTAATCCATTGTATATTCGTATCATTCTCATGTTTTGCTTTCCCAGTTAAATAATCCCTCATTTTATACTTGTTTTTATCTATTCTTTATCACAGTGAATTTTTATTCTTTTTCTCAAATATTTTATACCAAATGAATGATTTGTTATAATATACCATTTATAGCATAATCCCTAGCCAGAGATTCATTTCTGTTACTGCTCTATGCCTGTCTTCTGAGATCTTAATAAGTTATAAAAATTTTTATTTAAATTATAAAAGCAAATTAATCTATCACTATATTTTTGAACCACTTTTTAATGGTGTATTTTTTTAACATTTTAGGAAATGAATTTTTATTTCCTTTGTTGTTTCTGATTATATAATATATTCAATTGATTGATCATTTGAGAATTTAGTCACTATCTGTTCAACTTGTAAAATGATAATTGAACCCAGGTATTAAAAATATGCACACATACTTTACCTCCTTTCAGTCTCATTTGTGCTAGGCTATGTTAAGTTAAAATTTATTAACTGTATTTCTGTCCTATATCTTAAATTACTGACAGGTTTACTATGTATATTTTGATATATAGTTATTTACTAGTTATTTACTAGTAAATTGTGCTTATTTCTATGTTTTATTATTTCTTTTTAAGATACTAATATATTCTGCCTTCTATAAAAAACTGTCACTTCCCTATTTTCTATATTCAATATCTAGGGCACATTTTGACTATTTATTTATTTTGATATCTCCTGTATGGTTTTATTTGGTGTATATCTCTAGTAAGACACGCAGAGCTACTAATTTAACATAAGTTCAAGACTAATAACTTTACATTTAGCATTGAGAAAAATGTTTATTATGACATAGATATTATTTATTACACATTGTCTAACATGCCATTTTTGTTTAATATACACATAAACCAGACGTGTGTGGACCTGTGTGTGCATGTTTATTTTAAATCCTTCTCTCTCCTATATCTTGTGTTTTGAGCATACATTCTATTCATTGTACTTCTGTGGTTTGATAAAATATGGTAAATATTGTTTTTATACAAATGGAAATTATATAAAACAAAATTATTAAAATGACCACCACAAAGATTCTCAGGGTTATAACTTAATAATTGCCTGGACCAAGTCATTAATCATAAATTGAACATACTTTTCGGATGGATACAGTGCTAAAAATCAGGATGAATGGAAATTAATAGAAATCCATTTTGTTCAATGAAAAATTTGATTATCATAATAAGTAAACATAAACCTAAAATGTGTGTTTTTACAAGCTGTTAGTATTTGTTAAATCAAGCACTGTAAGAACTCTTAGTCCATTTAGTGTTGCTATAACAGACTAACAGAGACTAGAAAAGAAGTTTATTTGGCTTATGCTTCAAGTGGCTGAAATGCCCAAGAACCACCGCATAGGCATCTGTTTGGCTTCTGGTGAGGGTTTCGTGCTGCACCATAAGATGGCAAAGACCTGAAAATGGAGTCTGGAATGCAAAAAGGACCAACAGGAGAGGCAACCTTGCTTTCTGACACCCATTCTACCCAGAATTTATCCTTTCTTGAAAGAACTAATCCAGTCTCATGAGAAAGACTTTAATCTATTTTAAAGATCTAACCACTTTGTACAGGCACTGCATCCCAACATTGCTGCACTGGGAATTAAGTTTCCAATGTGAGTTTTGCTGTGGACACTTAAGCTATAGCAACCTCCTTTATAAATATTCCTTTTAGAGAAAAGTTATTCATGGGCTAGTTAGGCAGATTTGTCTTACAGCAAGAAGCCGGTAGAATTCAGATTGAAGATGCCTGCTTCTGTTCCTGGCATATTTCCCAGGGACAAGTATAGGCATTCATTACTGCTATAGAGTTATTCAAATTGTATTTAAATAGGAGTCATCTGTCTCCAAAATTTTCACTGCAGATTCAGTGTGTTTAAAAGCCCCTGAAAGCCTGTCAATGGTAATGCCTTGGGAAATGCAGTTTCTGTTGGGACTCCCACGCTACACTATGAGAAGTCAGAGTTGGTACCGTGTCAGCATAGTCCTTAGATAGTTTACTTACCAAAGAAAACTCATATTCCAGGAGGTGGTGCTTTTCAAGTTAAATATTATCAGATTTGTTCATGGACTGAGGGTTAATCTGTAATATGTTTATTTAAAATCATAATGAAATTATTATTTGATATTAAAAATGGAAATCGAGCTTACTGTTCTGAGTCCTATTTGTGTTTTCTAAATTAGAAAGAATCATCTCACTCTTAAAAATTTGGTAAAATATGTTGTTGTTATCTTTATACTATTTTTGCTTCAAAGTTTATGTCAATCATAGTAAAAGTTAATGTCTCCATTCTTGTTGCTGGTTTGTTAATGAGTTTGCTAAGGTTTGTTTGACTTTAACTGAGAAAATTACTCAACTTTATAACTTTGCACTTTAAGGTATTTATCCTGAAGTCTTGCGAGGAAAACTATTTCATTAAAATATTTCAGCCTTTAATGACCTGCAGAATATTTTATAGGCTTGCTTTTATAATGATTTTAGGAGAACTATTTATTTTTCCAATTGAAATTGTACGTCGAATCACATTAAACAAACAAAAAAGATAAAGACTGCACTACCCTTTAAAATTACCTGTAAATTTTTTAATTACTTAAAACATTTTGTTGTAAGATTCACATATTAATTTTAACTTGGTGTAATGGAAATTTCTTAGATCTTATCTTTGACTGAGGCTCATACGGTAAATGCTGTTACTTTGCTTTTATCTCCATCACTGCAAAAAATAAGCCAAGGAATGCTGTGTTTTCATGAATGCCCTAAGTTAAAATTCAGTGGATTCAGTTCTTTCACAAAATTTGATGTGACTTCTAATTTATTTAATTAAAAACTATGTAGAAAATATTTATTCAAATGAATAACATGGAGAATTTATAATTTAATCCCCTTTTTTATTTCTGGAGTTTTAAGAGTTAATCAGAAGATGTTGTGTCATGTGTCTCTTATTTCTTCAAGTCAGGCTAATTTTTTAAATAGTTATTCTATTTGTCTGACATAGATTGATACTGATTCACTCATTCTACACTCTACTTTGGATAGCAATATTGGTTACATATTTTATATCACACATTTAATATTTTAATTTTCTTTAATAATTTTTTTTTACTTTTTAAAATTTTTCAGCTTTTATTATAGATTAAAGGGTACATATACAGGTATGTTAAATGGGTAAATTACTTGATGCTGAGACTTTGGGGTCCCAAAACACCCATCACTCAGGCCATAAGTGTAGTACCTAACGGGATTCTTCAGCCCATGCCCCCTTCTCCCCTTTCTGCATCTAGTGATCCCCATTGTCTGTTGTTCCCATCTTTATGATCATGTATTTTCAATATTTAGCTCCCACTTATGCGGGTAACATATGGTATTTGATTTTCAGTTCTTATGTTACGTCATTTAGCATAACAGCTTCCAACTCCGCCTATGTTTCTGCAAAGGGCATGATTTCATGCCCTTTTTTATGACTGCATAGTACTTCATTGTGTACATGTACCACACTTTCTTTTCTCAATCCACTGTTGATGGGCACTTAGGTTGATTCTATATCCTTGCTATTGTGAATAGCACTACTTAAAACTCTGTCCTTCATGTATTTTACTTATTTTCAGTTTTTATATTTTTGTTCCTTCTTACTTTTTTATTTACTTCTCAAACTTGTATCTAGTTTTTCTGAATTTTTCTTGTTATTCTCTTTTACTTTTTAATATATATTAGTTTTTTGTTTTTTCCTCGTAAATGTAATGACCTCTTAAAAAAAAAACACACACATTTTTATCTTCTGTTTACAAAACAGTTTATTCCAAGAGTTTGATTTTTTTCAAAGTTCATGTAGTGGAACTCCTGTTTTTATTGTTACAGAATTAAGTTGACTCACAATGTCAGTTTCCACCATTTTGTATCCCTGCTTTATTGGTTTTCATGGTTGTTACTCAGATATATCAGAATACCACTTTCATATCCTGACCCTATTTGCCACACTCTTGTTCATTGAATTATTTCCATGTCTGCAAGACAATTTTAAATGATAAGCCTGAACCATTAAATGACTGGGCAGAGACATGTATTAATGCAGAGGAACACCCAAGAAAGCCTATTTTTACTACATGTGTTGTGGTTGTGTGGGTCTAAGGGTCAAATCACTATACAAGTATGAGTCTATTTAAATATCTTCCTCTACTATTAGAATTTTGAATATTGGGCCTCTCCAAGTCAGAGGTATATCGTATTTATACTTTGTTCATT